TTTGAAATGACCTTTAGGATTCATGACTGCAAAAGAGCACGAAAAATAAAAAGGAGACGCATCAACAATAGACCCGACCAAAATAAAATCATGTTGAGCGCTTGCTACTGCCCCCCCCCCCCCCCCCCGATCTCGTTGTTCCCGATTTTTTTGCTGTCATGAAACCTATATGTCGCTCTAAACAATCTGGGCACGTAATGTGAAACACCAAAAAATAATAGCAACATATCCACAGACGCAGCACCACACTCTTTTAACACGATAGCGTGCTGAAGAGCCCGTTTTGTAGGAATTAAGGCGTCGGTGTCTGCGTCGGCGGTGCTGGTAGTGCGCGAAAAGTCATCTTATGCGTGACCAAAAAATCGAGAGCGATGCACATAAAATAAAGAATAAAAAAATCCTGGGTAAGTGTGGGAAAAGAATTCGTGTCGTTTGGGCCCGAGTTGGAATAGAACCCAGTTGGTTTGCGTGGCAAGTGGTTGTTCTACCACAGAGTGACGTGTGTGTTTGTAAACACGGAGAAAATAACTTCCCCTGCTTTTAAATGCAGCGAAAGCACCTTGCGCAATTTACAACCACACTCGTCCTGTGCACATGATTCACAATACAACATTTAATATCCGACTAATAACGCGTGTTACTAGCGTGCAATGCGATCGGGCGTCACAACATGCTATTATGATGGCTTTACGGTTTGAAGTGGGCCACCCTCTACAAAAGGCACACACGCTACTTTGCATTCTCCCTTAGGCCCACGTGGTGGGTGCATACCAAGCTCTAAAAGATTTTACGCACATCATAGAGTTTCCTAATATACACTAGAGGGAACTCTGGCGCTAGTGTCTATGGGAGTTGCGACGCACGGCGCTTCAGCGAGCATGGGAATGATGGGTAGTACACACATTTGTCTAATCTTCGTACTTCTGGCCTGCTTTTGGCTGCGTGTGTGTTCGTGTGGCTTGGAGCTGTTTTTTTCACAAAACAAAATTCAGAAAATGTTCAGCGGCCGCGTTTCACCACTTTATTCTTTTAGACTTACCTTTACAAGACGGGTCACGAAGTTCAAAAGAGTTTAATCTTTCTTTCAAAACAAAATCGAAACACAGCAATAGACGAAGCCACAAGTACGATTCGTCACCCGCAAGTACGAAGACTAGGCAAAGTGTGTACTACCCATCATTCCCATGGTCGCTGAGCGATCGCTGCGACAGAGTCCCCTCTAGGTAATGTTAGGAAACTCTACGTCGCACATAACTGACCGTGGTTTAAAGCATGCTACCCATTACACAGAATGCAGCCGCATGCGAAAGCTCCATTGACACAATTTTTTTTTTAAACTCCGTACGCACTAGAGACCGAATATCGCTATCTTTATCAATACCTCATCATCGCAATTGCACAGATTCACCGACTCGAACATGGACGACTCTAGCCACGAGGACAGCGCGAACGAACAACGCGCGCTTCCAGGCGCGCCAGCCGGCCACTACTCCAAGGCGCACCCGCACTACAAGAAGCTTCGGCTGCCCAGCGGACGTCGAGTGGACATCACCAGGCGAAACTATTTCCTCAGGTGCACACCCACGCTAAATACCCCCGATTAATTTCCTGCCTTTTCGAAGAAAGAAAGACAGAAGCACACAAGAAAATGACTGGCTATGCTGGCCTTCGACGGAAATTTCACGTTCTCCATGTTTATTCATCCGCTTTATCCAAATTTTTATTAAGACCTTAGATGCCCCGTACAACACCGAAGTAACCGCCTGCGTCCGGGTCAACATGACTCATGCGAAATATCATGACGTGGTGGAGTCACCATTGGGCGCTGTTATTACGACTCAATTTTGATTAATTGCCATACTTCCTCTCTCGATGGATGTGCCCATCATGCATCTTGTTCTTTCAATGAACATTATGTTTAAAGTACACGTCAACGTGTGTTTTACCTTGTGTATTCATTAGTGAATATTATTTTGATTCTACATTTATTACGCATTATGTGAAGCGGCGCGTTTCAAACTTTGAAACACCGAACTCATCCATATACTGATTCAAGTCTTTTTTTTTCCCAAATAACTATTTCTGTTTTTTTTTAAATTTTTCCTGAAATCTGCAGAAACATGTTTTTTCGAATCGATTTCTGTTTAGCCACGTCTTTTACGAGAATAGTTATTTTTTTATGTGCATGAGCCCCTTTTTACATTGTTCTTTTGATTTTGACCGTCCACTGTGTTGCCGATAAATGGTGTAGGGGGGGGGGGGCACAGACCTCGTCAAGCCACTATGCGACTTTTTGTCTGTGTTCAGAACAACTCATCGCCAGGGCCAAAAGGGAGGGCAGTCGAAGTCAAAAGGTTCCTGGACTAGGGAACCCTCCCACCTTAGGGTGATACCGGGCATACCTCGGAACACTGTTTCGAAATAAACGTTTATTTCGAAACACACTCTTCTGTTAGCTGCACCATGTATAGATGCAAAATAATGTTCAACTTAAGTTCAGTTCAGACACTTAAGTCACAACGGGGCCTTATATTTTGTCATTGCATGAAACCTGTCTTTTGTTCAATGGGGAAACGATCTCGGAGGCACTACAATACTGTGAGGTGTAGGAACATTCAAATGCCTCCAATCTCAGAGGCAGTTGAAAACCACGTTGGGCGGAGAAAGCAATCAGGTGCGGGGTAGTACTAATACAATCAAGTGAGAAGAAAAGAAAAAAACAAATACGCCATTTCCCACTAAAGCAAACCATGTGTAGATGCGAAGCAGCCAGCGCCAACGCTTACACTGGCGGCGTTGTTGACGCTGGCACTGATCGCGGCGTTGTGCAGGACAGAAACCTGGGGAGGCATAAAGCACGCAATGGTGAACTAGTGTTTTCTACTGGAACATGCCGATCACTGCTTATGGGCAATGAGAGACAGGAGACTATAATTGCACACAGATGCCCGCAGTCCGCTTTTAGTTAACGTGCACGCTGCGAATTTTTATAGCTCAACAACGCAGAAAAATCTCCCACCGGCACTGCCTTGGAGGTCAAGATCCAGTGCTTATACAGGGTGAACAGTGAATAGCTGTGCAGCGTGAGCAGTCGGTTTTTTCGATCAAGAAACTCGCTAGCAGACTCTGCCTGGGTCGGCGTTGCGAGGCGGGAGAGCGGGAGCGTAGGAAAGGAGACAGGGGGAGACGGTGGTGGTAGTGGTTAGAATAGGAAGAAGGCACTTACTTTATGCGGCCCGGTAGGGAGCACGGCGCAGCGCCCGAGTGGGAGGGGGCGTGCATGCACACTGGCCTTGTAAACGCCGCGAAGAGGAATGCCCAGAGGAGAGGGGGTGAGCGAGAGTAGTTTAGCAGACGCTCCCTGCGTCAGCATTGTGATAGGGGGAGGGCGCACGCGTACTGCGAGCACGGACACCGACGCCGCGGGACATAAACCCGAGAAAGATGCGTCCCATCTGAAGGATGGTATTCGCCATCGAGTCGTCTTACGCGAATGCATAAGGGACGGTATGAAGTTTATCAGTTTTAGCGCGCAACGAAAGGCCGCGTATGGTAGCGCATTCATCAAAAAATAAAAGAAAATAAAGCTGATTGATTGATATGTGGGGTTTAACGTCCCAAAACCACCATATGATAAAAAACAAAGAAAAAAAAAGAAAGCGTCAGTCCGTGTTTGTATCTCCAAATATCCAAGTTCAGATGGCAAATTAACAATTCACAATTAGGAAATTCCACAAGATGGCGACAATTTTTATAGCCATCAATAAACATTTGTTCATATGTTTTTGGTACACCTTTTGTATGTTTTTTATTTGAACTTGAACCAGCCTTATATCACGTTTTAGACAAGTGTGTGTTGCCTTCTCGGATAATAAAAAAATAGGAAAATAACTCCCCCAACTGTGGTTTTCAACACTGAAATCGAGGGAACCTATGCTCTTTCAGCCCCCCCCCCCCCTTTTTTTTTTCTGGCACCTGATAGTTCAGTACAGTTTATGGTGACCCCGCTCCTAACTGCAGCGGACGATCACCGCGGGTTCACGCTTAGCGAGCCACAGGGCCTCTACTCCGTTTACTCGCGTGTATCCTCAGATCCCCACATCCTCCTCTCCTTAATTCACCCTATATACCGGTCTGCAAAGGCAGCCGGTCGTCGCCCATACATACAAAGCGTCATGCAATGGGCAACAGCTAGCCTCAGCCTCGCTCTGCAACTGCTGCTGAAGGGGAAAAAATAAAACACAGAATACACATGAGAAATACAGAAAACATATATTTTGCCTGCTGCAGCGTTCTTAGGGGGGGGGGGGGGGGGGGCTCCGCTGTGCCTTATAGTTCTAAAAGACGGTCGACGTCCATGGTGGCGACGCCGTCCATAGGTGGTCCGTCGGTGGCTGCGGGCGGTGGCAGCCCTGACAGCAGTGCCGCGAAATGGGGGTCCTCCCCTTTTCGCTGTCGGCACAGGGCTGCCAGGTCCGTGTCCGAGCGCTGGCTCAGCGGGGCTGGATCCGGTGCCTTCCTCTCGGTGGCCATCCCCTCGGCGGCCGCCTTTGTCCGCGCCACGTGCATGGCACCCTTGTAGTGGCACTTGAAGTGCACGGTTACGCGGCAGGTGGCGCAGAACCCCACCGCTGCATCGGTAGGTAGTTGGGCACCTCCGGCTGCCTCCTCGCCCTCCGCCAGCGTGCAGCCCCGGAATGGCCACGGGACACGGTCCAGCGGCAGGTCGCGCCGAACACGCCGCTGTGTTTTCCACGGTGCGTCGCTCACGAAGTAGTGCGGGACCTCCTGCCGCGCCCACGTGGCCACGCTCCGCCCTGGTGTTTTGGGGACCGGTGGCGGTGCCGATGTTGTTGATCCCCACCGCCTGGACGCCCGCCTGGTGGACTTGGGTGGTGCCGAGGCGGAAGGTTCTGGCCGCCGAGGCGCCCGCCGTGTGGGTTTCTGGCTGGAGGGCATGTCGCTGAAGGGCATGTGACCACGACGACCGGCACCAGACCAAGAATGGCGCACAAGTTTCTTTATGCCGTTTCGGTGCAACAGGTTTCGAAATGTACTTTCGTGGCTTCGGCTTCACTGACCGCATAATACGTCATTCCACAGGAAGTGGCGAGACAAGAAGGTCAAGACCTCATACCAGCCTTTCATCGTCCTCGGTGGCATCTTTCTGCTGATCTGCCTGGTCATATACGCCTACAAGAAGAACATGCGTGAGTGCTACTTTTTAGTATATGCGTAGTGGCCTGTTTCGCGTGCGAACACGTGAGCAGTATACATCTTCCGAGCAGGGAGAAATGGCGCGCACTAAGAACCACGACACAGATTAACTCGACTTTGGCGTGGAACTAAACAAAACTGCATTATTATGTCTTTAGCGAACCTGAAATAAAATCGGTCTAATAAGGACGCATGATCCAAGGGACGCCGAGCTGCACCCTTCCCTGGGACATACGGTTGTACGCAGCCTTTGAGTTACATGGCCATTGAACGTTCCATCAACTTTTGAACGATGGCTTCCATCCTCTTCTTGTATTTAGTAAAAAGGTTAAGTGTTACTACACGGTCAAGTAATCGTAGAATGGCGTAGCATGCATGGAAAAATTTTCATCCCATTTTTGTGTATACTTGTGATATTACAACAGATTTGGTTTTAACTTCACAATGCACAGATATATTTATATGGCTGTTTAGTTTCACATGTGCATCAAGTATGTGGTGAGTAAGTGTAGATACTTCCTAGGTGCTGCTAGTGTTGATGGATGAATGAATTAAAGAATGAATGAATGAATGAATGAATTACTGCGCTCGTGCCAAGCGTCGCGTCGGGGTAGGCAGGTGTCCCTGACCGCACCACCGGAAAAGCACTGTGCACGCGTTTTTTTTTTTAGTGAGATAGTGGCAGGAATGCGAACGCAGAAGGCGAGCATGAAGATGCAGTCACTGACAGGTAAAGTACAGCAGCGCCACGCCCGAGAACACTTTCGCGGAGAGGGTTGTATTGCGCGAGCTTTAGTCACTTTTGACTGTTCCTCTACTGGTGATCACTTTTGTATTAGAAAGCCGATTAAACGAAGCAGTGCCAGGCATCGGGTTTAACACATCTTTCCAAGCCATTTTGTAATTGCATGCAGAGATAAAAGCCGTCGAAGAATACATTTGATCACAACGAATGGAATGCTCAAGACATAAAAAAAGTGGTGTAGAGCGAAAGAGGGAGAAGAGGATGCACAATGTTGATTTTTACAGTTCCGAAACGTGCCGGTAGGCGCCAGGGACGTTACCCAGGGCTACGCTTGTGCGGTAACCTTCATAATGTGCATGACTGTACAGGTCCCGAAACACAGACGCTACAATGTGTACAGGTTTCTTGATAACACTATGATCGCTTCTAGGTAAAAACAGACATTTTGGAGTCCGTACAGGTTCTTTGATCAGTGATTGCATCTTCATCCTTGTCATGGCACTTGAACCAACTTTCGTTAAACGCTTGACTACATAGCACCGAGAATGGTTAGCGTATGAAGCGTTCCCAGGGATGACAATCAAACAATTACAAGCGTGGAGCCTTGCGAGCTCTCTTCTAAAATTGCAGAACGCTAAAATAGGGTGCGCAAAGCTTTGCGTTAGCATTTGTCGCCTTTGCACACGCGTCATACGCTATCCTGTTACATACATTCGTTATATGGCGGAAATGGCGTGCGTACGCAATTAAAGGTATCTTTGCAACCCATTTTCTAAAACTTCCTAGAGTGGGACCGCGCTGTTGAAAATTTTGCGACAAAGGTAAACCACGAGAACGCTCTAACTATGGACCCGTCGGGGCGAATACGCCCAAGCACGCGCACCTCACACGACATCTCATGACAGTTTCTCAATTAACAACATATTTAAGATCCGGAGTACTACGAACAGAATACAGATAGAATAGTAAGACACTAATAAATGTAATGATTACCCGGACTTTTCCTACGAGCGCCTGAATTTATGTACACCCTTGCAATTTTTTAAGCATCTTGTGAATGTCGACCTCAGGTTATCGTAGTTTCCAATACCCGCGAGAATCAATGAGGTCAGTGATTCGACGATCAACATCACACCGGCTTTCTGAGAACATGATTGCACGCATAAGACTGATAGCGGGTACTTATCTCAAAGTAAACAACGAAGCAGTTGACACTCGCACATGAGTGGAAATTTTGCGCTAGCGCATGGTGTGGCGACTCTCGTGTGGCGAATCTCGTTAGACCATGCCTAGTGGTAGACGCTCACGCGAAATAAAAAGTCATTTCAACCCTTCCATTTGACTTAAATATTTAAGTTACCTGAATAACTCAGGGCTGGTCTGGTCAACGTCAGCTATACTACTAAGTGCTACTGCTCGCTATTGCCTGCCAAATAATGGCTGATGTTGGCCAAGTTTCGGTATTTTATGTCATTAAGATAAAGTAAAAATACTCACTGCGTGTTCCTATTACTCTGTTTTGTTCTAATATTCTACTTCAATTGAGTAAATGGAATAATAAAACTTCACTTTTTATTGCATAAAGACTGGCAACCAACAAGCTACCAACAAAAAGAAAACGTGATTTACCCTTTTATCGTCTCCTCTGCAGTGAACCTGTAGTGAACCAAAACTTAATCTGATAACCAGCCCTCAGTTCAACTGTTATTTTGATTCTTCGATGAATATAACATTGTTTGCTAAATAAACTGTTTTCTGCATGTCGTATCGTCTCCTGGCTCAAGCCTGGCTCTACAACATTCTCAGCGGATGTGAGTACTTCTTTTCTTACCGTTGTGATGAAAGATTCTTGCCAGAGATCTAGAAAACCGTCGCTCTACGCATAGTCGGTTGCCAACTGTGAGCCATCACACTTAGCCACCACAGCCATGTCATGACGACTTGAAATAAATAGCGCATAAATGATACTTATCATCAGACTCTTACGGGCGGTGCACGGCTATAATTTTTTCCCACATGAGCGCGCCTGTGTTGTGTCCAATATGTTAAAATGCGAAGCATTCTTTAGGTAATATCTGGGACTTTCAACGTATCTGTCTATCTAACCGCCCACAAATGTGGTCTCGTGGCCGTTGCGTAAATAAAATGTATACCAAAATTAGCGTGGCATGACATGATTGGATGAATGGCAGATGGTACATGAAGGTCAAGATGCGCATGTCATGTGCGGTATGATTTAGATGCCAAGTCTATAGTGCGCTCGTGGCTGTTTAGCTGGCTTGATGTGCAACACAAGTCACGTGGCTTGGCATGGCTATATATAATAAAAAGTAATGCAGACGGTAAAACGGAAGATCAGGACATCCTTGTTACCCACGGCATAGATTACGTCACGTGCTCATGGTACGCTCGCATGATGAACGCCTTAATTTGCCCCCCCCCCCCCAAAAAAAAAACTATGCCGTGTGCGCATCCATACTCCCTGGCTGCATCGAATTGCAACGATTTTTGCACTACGTGGGATCTGTCAAACTTTTATTCCATTACTGACGTAAACCGAAACAAGGGAAAATAGAACTTGTTAGAACAATAGCATACACAAGGGTTGTGCTATTACCAATAAACAAAAAATTATTTTAGTTCTTGCTATTTTCTGTAAAACGCACGCTATGAGTACCGTCGTGGGCAATATTGAAGTTATCGCACGAGCGTCGACCTGCCTAGCATCCCAGGGGCCAAGCGACACGTTTCCGAAGGGTGATAATTAGAATTGCGCATTATTCTCTTCCTCGCTGGCTGTTTCATGCTACAACAATCATCCCCTACAATAAACTGAGCCCTTTCCCTCAATATTTGGCTTTCCAATCGCTGCTAACAAGTGCGCTCTTATCTCCGTAGGTGATTACGAAAATTGCCGGGAAAGATGTGTTAAAGCTGGTGCTTGGCAATCCGCTTATTCAGATTCCTAAGATGGGAGAGTGAGAAAGCAAGTAGAGTGAGTGAAGGCTGCAGCGCGATACCACCCTCTCTCTCCTCGGAAGAGTATTCTGGGATCTGGCGCGTTTCCAAGTTATTCGCCAACGCTCGTGCCATAACCTCCATCTGATCGTAATGCACATTTAAAGTGCAATCGCATTCTGTAAATGCCCCACTTTACGCTGCATTGCGAGTACTATAGATGTATAGCCAGAGTTGGCTAATTAACCCTTTACTAGATGCGGGAAACCTTCGAGCAATCAAGCCATGGATTATGTGCCCTCTTTGATGCTGGCTGTTAAGTATTCACGCGGAACGTAGCTTGCAGCATGAAAAACGTAGCGCCATCTCATCTAAGGTACTTTATGCTAGCAGAAATTGTTCTGTAGTTGATGATTGAGAACGCGAGGTGCTTGCAACAGTTTTCACTTCGTTATTTCTCGCTCAGTGGGTGACGTAAATTCCCTCTTCAATAACTTGGTTTACTAGGTCACCCAAGAGGTGGCACACAACATGGTGCGATGTTTTGAGCTACGTTTTTTGCTGCAAGGTCCTCGGTTCTGCCGCATATGGATAATCCGCGACACACAGAGTGGTGCAATAAAGTTGGGTTTGAGATATTTTGACTGCAGAATCAATTTATGGTTGCTATTTTGAACCAGGAAATGAAAACAATTTCTTTTTGCTCGGCAGTGTCCTAATTCAGGGATTAAATGGTTAAAAATATAGTTATTAAGTTACAATACACAAAGCGCTCACAGGGACGTTAGTCTGATGGGAATAAAATTATATGCCATGAATACATAGCAGAAACTGCAATGCGAAACAAAATCCGAATTGAATACGGCACATAAGCGAAAATCGCAGATTTGACAAAGTTTAGCCGGCAGCATTAAAAAAGACTGTCAGAAAAAGTTAGCAGAGTTAGAGGCACCAATACTAAAGAACCACTCCCGGCTCTTCTGGGGTGGACCGAAAATGAAATTCCACAGTGCATCTCGCAATGAACATCAGCAGAGAAATGCCAACCTAAAGTTTTCGGGTGCGAGTCGATATATCTTTCTTTCTAACAGCTAAGTCGTTCTTAGTCGAGCCTTGCGATGATGGCTGGCACCTGATCACGTGACCTTGCACTGTGTCTAGAGTGGAACTTATTATAAAGAAGGGTACTGTGCTGCGTCATGACGAGCGAGGGCGCTGCCCAGCAGAAAAGATGAACCAATTGGAGACATTCTTATATGGGTCAGGGTCAGCC